TGGCCATGCTACAGAGAAACCCAATTTCTGCTGCTTGTATTTTTGACCTCGGTCCCTTAGTCATCGGTCTTTTAGTCAGTCTTAGAACCATAGTTGGAATGGAGGTTAACTAGTAAATTTACATTTTGGCACAGCTCTGCTTTACGATGATAGACTGGTACAGCGCTTGCATTACTGCTCACACCACCTCGTGCTCCACCTTCATTTCACTCTTCGATCTGTTCTCAGTAGACTGTGCAAAGTTGTTTGACTTGTGTTAGCTTTACCTGCCACAGTTTACACTCAACTTTATTTTTGGCATGAGCCCCACACTACAGTGGCTAACATTGGCCTAACGCATGTGCAATCAAACAAAAAAAAAAAAGGTCCATCTGTTGTGTTCACGCCTTAGGGAAATAAAGGAGCAGCCTGAGTTTTTGCATGTTTCTTCTGTTTGAACAGCAGCATCTCGTCTCACCATCTCAGACACGTCATCATTCACACATGGTAGTTAGTTTTGCATTTGATTTTAATTTTTGTGGTTGGAAAATGCATTCTAGGTGCATTATTGCAGCCTTCAGTGAGCAACACGGTATTACATGTTTCAATATGATGGTTGAAAACAAAGAAATTATATATATTTGATTTTAAAAACAAAAAAACAAAACTGGTATGGCATTGGATTTTTATTTTAAAACTTTAATGCAAGTAAAACCACAGCAGTTTTAATTTCCCTTTTCTTTGTGGTGTGCTGTTGCACATGGTGGCTACATCGCCTGTGAAGGTTGTGGTGATTACTGCTATGTAGAGCGATATGACCAAAAAATATTTATCATGATATACATTTGAAAATTTGCGATAACGATATAACTGACGATATAATTGACACTAGACAAAATACTTTACAACTCCACAACTTTATTAGTGCAAAAAACAACCCATCAATGTATTTTCACTTAAACAAGCAGCTGTTTTTTATGTGCATTAACGCTATATAAAAATTTAACAGTGCAAATGCAAATTCCTTGCTGACAGTTTAACCAAAAGGCATTTCCAGTGGAAATTGGCCGACATACCCTCAGCATAACCATGTATAATATCCACAAAACTTAAAAAGAGGTTATACACAAACAATACGGTAATATTATGTTGAAGCACAGTACGTATCACTCCGTGAGGCTGCTGCCTACGATAGCTGTAATGCTCCGACAATCCATCAAGCGGTGCATGTTTTACCCATATTCTATCGCGATATTTCGTTTTCTTATTGTTGCCCAACATTATACCGGTATAATCGTGAACTGTATGATAGGGCCCAGCTCTACTGCTATGAACACGAAATTGTTTCGATTGGCCTAATTGAACAATAAGTGGGTGATCATTTATCCAGTGTTTCCATAACTATTTCACATTATTTATTTTAATTGAATCAGATTTCTTTGTAAATGTACTTTGTCACAATGTCTAAATGTCACTGGCTGTGGCATCTGGCATTAAAGTTGTAAACTGAGATAATGAGTCATATCTGCATAACATTTTGTGGGATCATGATGAGACTGGTTCTGTGGGTAGATGAGACCTGGGTGCACCTGTGTGCAGCAGTGTGCCCTGCTTGATGTTTCTGTACTTGTTCCACCGAACTGCAGCTTGCAGCTATATTTTGCTTAGTCTTATTTATATCAGTTTGACGGTGAACAAAGACCCGGTTCCCTTCAGACGTACATGGATTCCTTACGTGGTTTCACTGAGGAGGGAAGAATTATTTATGGACATGCAAATAAGGCTCAGCTCTGTAACAGGATGTAGACCTAACGTTCTGCTTATCCAAATGAAAATGTTATTTCTGTCGGGGCGTTCCCATACCAACAACAATGTTGTCTGTCTGACACATATCCTGATGATTATTTTAGATTTTGCTTTGTTGTTGTTGTTGTTGTTTTTATTACTAAAAATAAAGTTCACCACCCCCCAAAATAACATTTTTATACTAAATGTTTGTGTCTGTATCATAATTTAGACCTTTTTGGGGAAATAAATGCATAGTCTGATTTCATACACTGCATAAAATAACATTTTCATCATTAAAGCGGCATTTGAAAGTCATCCTTTTATTTGTAATGGGGCTGTTCCTCTTCTTTGCTCTGCCAGGTCCATAGAGAAAGTGACTGTGCTACCATTTCCTGAAACTCACTTCTCTTTCCTCATTTCCAAACCACAGACCAACAGTTTATTGTTTACTTTCAGCTCAGATGAATATGCATGTTCGGTGATGACTAATCCGGCACAGCGAAACTCATAAAAATCCACTGTATATGATGTAATCATCTAAGGCACCTCTGCCATGGTCTTAGACCCATTGGGCACATTAACAGAACAGTGTAAATGTTTATACAGCCCATTTAGGAGGTAGATACGTGTGAATAAACCTGCTGATCCAGGTAGGGAGAGTATGCAAATCAGGCTGATAGCTGATAGTTTATCACAGTGGAGGAATAGTTATGGCAAGAGGAACAAGAAACAAGGGATACAGTCTCTGTTTTTCAACCAGAGGTAGAACTACGGACAGAGACAAAGTGGATTTCACTAATAGAGACACCTTGGCACTCCCTCTGTTGTTGCTGTGTTGGTAAAAGAAAACACCTGGCTTAAACAAACTGTTTTTGATTCCTGTGTGTATTTATTTCTCAGCTTAATACCTTTAAATCCTTAACAGTTTACAGTGAGCGCTGATGTGTCTGGAAGCAGACCAGGAATTTCAGATGGATTGAAAACATTCATTTTTCCGCTTGGTCGTTCCAAATTGGAGTGCCTGAATGGAAAAACTTTCGGAAGATACGGTTTATGATTGTTTGGCTTTTTTGATTTAAAAAAAAAATGGTTTAAAAAAAATAAAAATAAGGCTGAGCTTACAACTTTGGCATATATAATTACTTATTGAGGTTTCTATGTGATACTTCAGGGGAGTGATGACAGTATGAATGGGTGTGCAGGATGTGTGTTAGGCTCTAGTCACACAGGCCTGGAGACTAGTTGGTGTCCAGTTGACAACAATTGGTCGTTAAAGAAAAATATGCATTTCATGACTGGTATTAATAGTTGCTTAACTATACCGTGCTCCATGGAAATTCTGCTTGCAATTGCTTTGGTTGCTAGCAGATTACCTGAGTTGCCACAGTTTGAGTGGAAGACAGCTACTTGCCTGCAACAAGTTGGAGACTCCTTTCAGAATTGCAGAAAAAAAAACTGGGCCTTCATCAATTTCAATATTTTGTTTGTTTTTTGTTCTTATTTATTCCCCCGTTTGTCCTACAGAAATGACAAATTAATCTTAATTGATCTTAATTTCCCGGGTTTTGCTTCTTTCAGCTGTTCATCACAGTGTTGAAAAATAACTTGCACAAAACATTTGGTACAACAAATAAGTAACAGCCACTGATGGAGAGAAGAGAAGTAAGAAAGTCTGAGGAGGTCCGAATAACTTGAAATAAAAGAGAACCTTTTGCGAGGCAGATAAGCCATGGCATAGAGCTGGGCGATATAAGATTTTTTTTTTT